CATCACAGAAGAGGGGATGGGGTGGAACTGGGAGGAACCAGCAGGTCTCTGGGGTTCCGGACCCTACCTAGAATAAACCATCGCAACTGCATATGCATGTATACCTTCGGGGGGTGATGTCCTTGTTTTGATCTGCACCTTCAGTCTCCCTGGGTGGGAGGGTGGGAAATGCCTCTCTAGCTCTCTGGCAAGCCTCGGTGGAACGTGCCGCGCCCCAGTGCCGGTATGGTGGTGGGTCGCGACCTGACGGTACTTCCTGTCCTCACCAGGACGATTTCCTCCTGATTCACTATGACAAAGGACCTTGCCGCAACAAGCTGGGCCACTCGAGGGCTTCCGTCATCTGGCACAGAACACAGGTAGGTGCCCCGCACAGCGGCCTGGGTCTGGGGCACTTTTAAAATAGCTGAATAAGAGTCATTTTCCATAAAAAACTTAAATCGTGACTCAGTAAGAATGATCATGGTCTCACACAGGGGCGATTCTAGGATTATTTTAAGGAGGAACCATAATTGACAGGGACCAACCTTATTAGCCAATGATATGTTCTGAATCAGTGAGTGACAGGGGAGGGAGCATTCTTGGGGCCAGTCAGGTTTCAGTTTTGGCCAGTGGCTCTGTGGCCCCGCCTCTGTGTATACCCCTAGCCTAATACTTCCAGTGCTGTGAACTGGACTCCCATCCATGTGTGTGGAGTTTGCTTGTCCGTGTCAGTTCTCTCCCATTGTCCGAAAATGTCCAGTTAGGTGAATTTATATCTATACATTTCCCATAACGCAATGGGCTGGTGTCTGACCCCTTGTTTTGTCCATCCTGGTTCATCTTGGCCCTGTGTTGCAGAATCGGTCTGGAAAATGGATGGATGAGCTGCGAGTCTGTCTATCTGTGCTTCTATCTATCCATCCATCCATCCATCCATCCATCCATCTCCAGAGGCAAATTCGGGATCTTACCCATATCGAAATCTTACTCATAATTCCTGCGGGTGACAGATCAGAGCTTTGAATCACAGGAGTGTACATGATGCAATGCGATACTCTTATGTTCTTATGCTTGGGTGCCGATCCTACCTACATATGCACAATACTGCCAGTGAACGTGATCACCATGGTGCCGATGCTGTTTCTGTGACCAAGCATGCAAAAGACCGACTCATCGACATGTGTTTGCTCGAGTGACTGTAAACGGACTCCGTCTAAACAAAGCTTCCCTCTTGCTAACTGCTAGGCTGTTCAGATCGCCCGGTGCAGAATTTGATAACGTTCAGCTCCACTCGCCGAGAATTGGGAACAAGTCCAGTACATCCATTAGGGATAGGGTTAAGTTACCTGAATTGCTGACTGGACAAAGTAATCTGCATGTTAGCGGTGGAATGGTTTCATGCAACGGGAAATGATTTCCTATACAGCGGCCCCCCCTAGTGGTCAGTTGTACATTGTAATATTCCTCTTGCATGACCCTGAGGCAATTAGTCTTGATTTTTTTTTTAAATTGTTTATTATTTTCAATTTTGATTTGAAATCCAGTTTAGTTTTAGTTCGTTTTCTGTGCGTTTTTAATAATTTTATTAGTTTTTCCTCTTCTTTTTTTTTTGTCATAGTTTCAGTTAAAGTTCTAGTAATATTATTTTTAGGGACATGTGTCAGATCTTTAGAGAATCCTGCATGAATACACAGCGAACATTACGTACTAATGTCCTCAAAATGAGCAAAACGTTCCAGCTATTATTAATGGTAAAGATAAACAAATGATTACTTTAGCTAAACAGTATTTGAAAATGGTAACAAAGTATTTGACACTTGATTGTATTTCATTTTAGTTCGTTTCAGAAGCAATTTTTTTATAGTTTTTGTTTAGTTGTAGTTTTATTTGTTTACGAAAATGTTTCGATATAGTTTTAGTCTTCGTGAACGATAATAACCCTGACCTGGGCCGCCGTGGTGTTATTTGGATATACCGTTTAATCGGAAAGGCAGCCTGGTTTTTCCCAGTAGCTGAAGCAGCAGTACCGAGAAATGCAGCTTTATGATCGATGTTTCACACACTGACTGGTTCTTTCTCCTGCTGCCCCCTACAGGTGGTGGGGATTTTTGCAGGCTTCGGGCTCCTCCTCCTGGTGGCGTCACCGTTCCTCCTCCTCGCCACGCCCTTCGTCTTGTGCTGTAAATGCAAATGCAGTAAAGGGGACGATGACCCCCTGCCCACCTAAAAAAAAAACAGAGCAACAACCCCCCCCATCCACCCACCCACCCTTGTTGTCCCGTGCAGACAGATTAAACCCCAGCACTATTTTAGCTTTCATCTACATTCTCAGAAGAGAGTGGGGGTCCAGGTCCTGAAAAAGGTCGGTGACGCCCCCCCCCCCCCCCCGACGGATGCATGTCCTTAATGCACGGCGTACTACATGTGAAGACTGCACCCCTTTCTCAAAGACTGACGGCCACAATTTTTTTTTTTCGCCCTAGTTTTCAGTCTTTCCTAAATCTGACCACAACACGGCAGGTTTTAGACCTAGAAGGCACTCTGCATTCGCTCCACAAGAAACACCTCTGGGTTAACACTTTCAAGAGCATGGGAGGTGTTAAACTACACGTTCCGAATGGAAAACAGGTGACATTAATTGCTGTCTGTAAAACAAGCCGACCACCTGAGCCGGCAGTCTAACCCCCAGGTGATGCTGTACATGGTGAATGCAAACATTGTCCTTCCCTGTGTTTGCTTTTGGTTTATTTTTAACCCCAAGTTTAGCCATTATGTCTGTATTAAACTATTAATTATCTCTTTCTCTTGATATTGCGAAGTTCCCCGAAACGGTAATGTTACCACAAGTCAGATCTAACTTTTGGTTCAAAATGGTAGTTTGGCCCTTATATAGGAACTCATTTGTTCACTGTTTTAACCCTGAACAATTGCCATAAATTACTGGGCTTATATAAAAAATGACAAAGGTTCGATAATCTTAGAATTCTGGGGAATAGCAAATCTTACACATATTTAAACAAGGACGAAATTTTACAGCAATTCCTAGTTGAGCCCCTGCATGGTAGTTTGTCAAATTAAAGTGTGTGTGTGTGTGTGTGTGTGTGTGTGTGTGAGTGAGAGAGCGAGAGAGAGAACTGAAATGACTGTTTCTTTTTGTCGATCTGCATCACTTTTACTATGCAAAGCAGTGCAGCCCATTCGAGTCCCTAGCCGTGAGCATATAAGCGCACTTTTAGCTTGCCAGACTTTTCCATCAGGGAGTTGGGCCACGTTCCGGATTTCATTTAGCCAATCAGGTCCTGACTTGTAGTACGCGGGTCTCTCCCTGTGTTTCGTGTTACGAATTTGCACGCGCTATTCTGGTTGCCCTCCCACCATGGAGCGCATGTCCGGGATGCATTTGCTTAGATTTTCTGGTGGTGATTTTT